CCACCATGCCCAGCTAATTTTTTGTAGTTTTAGTAGAGATGGGGTTTCACCATGTTGACCAGGACGGTCTCGATCTCTTGACCTCGTGATCCACCCGCCTCGGCCTCCCAAAGTGCTGGGATTACAGGCTTGAGCCACCGCGCCCGGCTTGAGAGGCTGAAATTCTTATCCAGCCTCCCAAGTAGGATGTGTTAACATAGCAAGTTTATTGAACACTCATTGAGTGCCAAGTTTTATGATACAGTTATAAAGGAGACAGACATGCAGGAAACTTAGAGTCTAATGGGAGATATGGAAGAACAAACTCCCAGCAACATGATGAAAATGATTCTCTTTTTTCTTTCTGGCTTCTTTTCCTGTTGATAAACAAAAATATCTCCCACTTAACAAGTTCTCCTGATTGTTGTTGATATGCTGATAAAAATCTTTAAATTGGGTATTTGTGGTAACTAACATTTATTACAGTACTTTGAACCTGATATACAGTGGACAGCCTCTTAACCAACCACCACTTTAACCAGCTTGGTACACTGAATGTTTGGCTGTTACTCAGCAGGCTGCTGGGTCTGGTGTACCCCAACCAGGTAGCCTCCCAGCTGCTGAATTGAATGCTTACAGTTAGTTACCTTTATTCATGTATCTGTTTATGTTCATTGTACTTGTTATTGTAATTGTGCAACTTAATTAACCAGTGAAATTTGAGTTCAAAAAAGAACAAGGCTGGGTAAGGTGGCTCATGCCTGTAATCCCAGCACTTTGGGAGACCAAGGCAAGGCGGATCATGTGAGCCCAGGAGTTCAAGACCAACCTAAGCAACATGGTGAAACCTTGTCTTTACTAAAAATACAAAATTAGCCAGGCACAGTGGCATGCACCTGTAGTCCCAGCCACTCTGGAGGCTGAGGCACAAGAATCGCTTGAACCTGGGAGGCAGGGTTGCAGTGATCCGAGAACATGTCACTGCACTCCAGCCTGGGCAAAAGAGTGAGACCTTGTCTAGAAAAAAAAAAAAAAAAAAAAAAAAAAAAGAAATTACTGCTCACTTATATGGACAAGCAAACTGGAGAAGATTGGAGAGGGGATCTTAAAAGTCTAGAAGGACTCTGCACATAGATTACTTCATGAATGTTTTTAGGTTTTTGTTCTTTATAGAAAGTAGGACTGGAAAACATAGGCCATTCATAATGGGTGTGGCATATGAATGAAGATAACTTACAATTCAACAATAGACTCATACTCAAAACAAGATCTTGGCCCTACAAAGATTAGCAAATAAACATATGTTTATATACATATAAAAGATTTATTTGCTAATAAATAATACATATACATATTATTATTTACACACTACAGGTGTGTGCCACTGTACCCTGCTAATATATATTTTTTATTTTTTGTAGAGATGAGGTCTCATTTTGTTGGCCCAGACTGGTTTGGAACTCCTGGCTCAAGGGATCCTCCCTACTTGGCCTCCCAAAGTGATGGGGATTACGGGCATGAGCCATCACATCTGACGTGTTTGATTATTTAATATTTTCATTTGCTTCCTCCTTGCAAATATATAATTAATATAATTATTAATTATATATTTTACATAATATATAAAGTGTGTGTGTGTGTGTGTGTGTGTGTGTGTGTGTGTGTGTATATCTGCTAATCTTTGTTCATAGGACCAAGATCTTGTTTCGAAGGATTTTTTTTTTTGGAGGCAGGGTCTTGCTCTGTCACCCAGGCTGGAATGCAGTGGTGTGATCTCAGGTCACTGCAGCTTCCACCTTCCTGGCTCAAGTGATCCTCCCATCTCAGCCTCCCAAGTAGATGGAAATACAGGTGCATGCCATCATGCCCAGCGAATTTTGTTTGTGTGTGTGTGTGTGTGTGTGTCTGTGTGTGTGTGCCTGTGTGTGTGTGCGCGTGTGTGTGTGCGTGTGTGTAGATGGGGTCTTACACAGGCTGGTCTTGAACTCCTGAGCTCAAGCGATCCTCCAGCCTCAGCCTCCCAAAGGGCTGGGATTATAGGTGTGTGCCACCACTTCCAGCCTACATTAATATTTTTAGATGGACTGAATCCTTTGCTTAATACTTTATTATAAACTGTATAGAAGAGTGTAACTTCTTTTTTTTTTTTTTTTGAGACGGAGTTTCGCTCTTGTTGCCCAGGCTGGAGTGCAATGGCACGATCTCGGCTCACCGCAACCTCCGCCTCCTGGGTTCAAGCAATTCTGCCTCAGCCTCCCAAGTAGCTGGGACTACAGGCACGCACCATCATGCCCAGCTAATTTTTGTATTTTTAGTAGAGACGATGTTTCACCTTGTTGACCAGGATAGTCTCGATCTCTTGACCTCGTGATCCATCCGCCTCGGCCTCCCAAAGTGCTGAGATTACAGGCGTGAGCCACCGCGCCCGGCCGGAGTGTAACCTCTTGAGTAAGATTTTATTCCAAATTGGGTAATATGACATTCCTCTGCCTTACTGTTCAACGTTGGCCCTCCTAAAGTACTTCCAGTGAGATTATCCCCGTTCCCCAATTCTTTCCTTTTTTAGAGCGTCTGTGAGGAGAATTGAGAGACAGGGTATACTCTTAGAAAGGCCAAATGACCCCTCTCTTCATTTCTCTGCCATCGTGGTATGTGCTTTACTCCATTTCTTGCCATGTCTTCTCACAGGACTTTCAGGATTAAGCGATTCCTGGCCAAGAAACAAAAACAAAATCATTCCATTCCCCAGTGGATTCGGATGAAAACTGGTAATAAAATCAGGTACAATTCCAAAAGGAGACATTGGAGAAGAACCAAGCTGGGTTTATAAGAAATGACACATGAGATGGCACACATATTTATGCTGTCTGAAGGTCACAATCATGTTACCAAATCAAGCTGAAAATGTCACCCCTATCTGGAGAATTTTGAACAGAGTTTCCTCTCTCGATCTGTTATAAACGTGTTGGTTGGCTGGGTTCGGTAATAAATATGTGAGACCTTTAATTTCAAAAAAAAAAAAAAAAAAGGCCAAATGATACAGAACATACATCAAATGACATCACAGTGCATAGGAAAGTTAAAGCTGCTCCTCATGGGTCTGTTATTACCCAGGGAGAAAAAGGACTACCAGTAGGATTGTGTGAGTTCGATTTCCCTGTGCCTTAAAGCTGTTTTAATAAAGAAAGGATGAAGCTTTTCCTAAGGTGTTAGGTTTGTTTGTTGAACTTGTCTGCTAGAAGTCCTACATCTCTTGGCAAGGGGGAGCTGCTTCACATTTTCTCAGATCCTTGAGCTCACCAGGTTGGATGGAGAGATGATTGACATTGGAGATTCTCAGTGGGCAGACACTGGTAGCCTGTCTGTCTATAAAATGCCCCAGAGGAGCATATGGAAGGATGTCTCTGAAGACTGCACCTTCCTACAGGCTCTAGAGAAGGGAGTAAGACATAGGTAGCAATGCCAGCAGCGATAACCATGACAAAGGGCTTCCAGTAGATCCCAAGGTGGCTGGGGAGCCCTTTTGTAACACGTCTTGGTCACTGTTCAGTATTGCATTGCTCTAAGATCTCCTGTGGGTGCATTGGACTGGACGTTTCTGCCCTTCATTTCTTGAAATCTTTCCTGGAAGCTTTTTTCCCCTGCTTCTCCTTTTGTCTGCCTAATACCAGTTAGTCATTTCTTCCATTACGTTCTTTTTTGCCTTCTTCCCAAGGTGTGAATTCTGGTGTGAATTCATATTGCAGTCTCCATTCTTTTAACTCCTTGCTCCCATCCTACTTCTTTGCTTCTGCTTTCTCATTTCTCAATAAAAATAGTGCTGCATATCTAATGTGTGCTGCGTGTGAAGCAGTCTCTCTGTCTTTCTTCATAGCCTAGTACAAAGAGGAAGGGCCCTTATTCAGGAATATAATTGTTTATTCATTTCTTCAGCGCACATTTTTAGAGTGTCTGTGTAAGATCTTGGGAATACATGGATAGTTAAGACTGTTCAGCACTTTGGGAGGCCTAGGTCGGAGGATCACTTGAGCCGGAGATGTGTAGGATGAGTTGAGCCATGTTTGCATCTCTGCACTCCAGCCTGGGTAACAGAGTGAGACCATGGTTCCAAAGAAAAAGAAAAAAGAACATAAAAAAGAAATGATTCCTTAAATAGACTTTCTTTGTATACAGTTAGTTGATCTCTTTGTTCATAAAACAGTGAAGTCCTTTTAAAGAACTGCTTAGAAAATCTTTTCTTTGTCTTGGTTATTTAACATATTTCTGATGTGTTCTATAAGAGCAGCTTAGCAATGATGAATGTAAATGGATATGAACTTGACATAGTGCTTATGCTTTTCTTAAAAGGAGGAAGGATAGTGATTTTTTTTTCTTTTCTTTTTTTTTTTTTGAGACAGGGTCTTGCTCTGTTACCCAGGCTGGAGTGCAGTGACGCTATCATGCCTCACTGTAGCCTTGACCTCCTAAGATCAAGCGATCCTCCTTCCGCAGCCTCCCTAGTAGCTAGGATTACAGGCATGCACCACCATGCCTGGCTAATTTATTTAGAGTAGAGGCATAGCAAAATAAATAAATTTATTTATTTATTGGCCTTCCAAAGTACTGGGATTACAGGTGTGAGCCACTATACCTAACCATGATTTTTCTTTGAATATTTAGGAGTCCTAATAAAAAATACATTAAGAAAAGTTATAAAAAAAAAAAAAAAAAAAAAAACTCAAAAAACAAAGAAGTTACATTCTGCTCATACTTGGAAATTTGTTTGTTTGTTGAGAGGGTCTGGATCTGCCACTCAGGCTGGAGTGTAGTGGCATGATCATAGCTCACAGCAGCCCCAACCTTCTGGCACAAGTGATCCTCTCACTTCAGCCTCCTGAGTAGCTGGGACTACACACACCCTCCTAATGTATGTTTTTTATTTTTGTAGAGATGAGGTTTCATTATGTTGCCCAGACTGGTCTGAAACTCCTAGCTCAAGTGATCCTCCTTGGCCTCCCAAAGTGTTGGGATTACATGCACGAGCGACCATGTCTGGCATGTTTGATTATTTAATATTTTTATTTGCTTCCTCTTTGCAGAAATGATTTAATTGCTAGACTTATATTCAGCCATCATTAACCAAGTGGGCTGAGCCCTGACTCAGAGCTTTTACACTTACCACTGTGTTACTGATTTCTTCCTAGGAGGCTTTGCATTTGGGTAGTCTGCCTTTAAGTAAGACAAAACTTTTAGATTTTATTGCCAAAATGAGTTAGGAAAAAAAAAATCCAGAGAGTTTCTTTACATAAAAATTGTACTTCTGTGGTTTTTTTTTTTGTTGTTGTTTTTTTTAAATAGGTTCAGCAACTATTTTATAAGGAGCTAGCTGGGGACGATCATCTTTCTGCCAGGCACTATGGGTGATTTTTTTTTTTCTTTCAAAAGAGAATTATTATTTTTGGCTACAAAAGTAATTGTATTGTGGTATCTATAAAGAATACTACAAACTGAGGAGTTTAAGATGTGTAGAATACAGAATCTGAGCTTCAGTCTGCTGGCAAGGTACAATTTTGGCCAGATGCAGTGGCTCACACCTGCAGTCTTAGCACTTTGGGAAGCCGAGGCAGGAGTATTGCTTGAGCTCAGGAATTTGAAACCAGGTTGGGCAACATAGTGGGACCTTGTCTGTATAGAAAAAATTTTAAATTAGCCTGTTGTGGTGGTGTGCAGCCTGTGGTCCTAGCTACTCGGGAGGTTGAGGTGGAGGATCACTTGAGCCTGGGAGGTCGAGGCAGCAGTAAGTCATGGTTGTGCTACTGTACTTCAGCCTGGGTAACAGAGACCCTGAGACCTTGTCTCAAAAGAGAAAAAGATGCAGTTCAGAGTGTAAAATAGAAAAGTGATAGAGGTGTTTATAGGAATTGGAGAAGCCCGTGATGAAAGATGAGCTGGAGTGTCAGGGATGACTTTATGGTCAGACCTGAACAGCTTGGTTGAGTTTGGGTAGTTGAAGAATATCCTAGATGAAGGACTCTGGGCCAGCTAGACCACACAGAGTCAGAGGCCCCGATATGTAGCCTGTGGAAGGCTGTTTGTTTCAAAGTATTGTGGATAAAGAAAGCTCTTATTCCCTGCCTGTTCACCTAATCTGTGCTGGGAGAAAGAGAGTAAGAGGGCCCAATCCAGTGTCTGAGAGTGAGGACCCTTTTTCTCATCCCCACGGACATGATAAAAAAGGACTCAACAGAGAACTCTGTCTGTGTTGAATCCTGTAACTAACAGTGAAATCAACCAGGAAGATACTTCATAATTTCACCTACTTTTCATTTCATGGTATGAATACTATATACCATTAAAAATTAGTACTTTAGCTGGCTGCAGTGGCTCTTGCCTATAACCTCACCTACTCAGGAGGCTGAGGCGGATTACCTGAGTCTAGGAGTTTGAGGCTGCAGTGAGCCATGATCGTTCCACTATACTCCAGCCGGGGTGACAGAGCAAGATCCTTACTCTTAAAAAAATAAAAATAAAAATCAGTACTTCATAAAAGAAAACTGATTTATTTTAATATGTATTAAAAAAAATTTTTTTTTAATTGGTTGGTCTCAGCTCACTGCAACTTCCGCTTCCTGGGTTCAGGAGATTCTCCTACCTCAGCCTTCCTTGGAGCTGGGATCATGGGGGCAGGCCACCATGTCTGGCTAATTTTTGTATTTTTTTTTTTTTTTTTTAGTAGAGACAGGGCTTCACCATATTGGCCAGGCTGATCTTGAACATCTGACCTCAAGTGATCCGCCCACTTCAGCCTCCCAAAGTGCTGGGATTACAGGTGTGAGCCATCGTGCTTGGCCTAAGTTTTAAAATATAATCTCTGGGCCAAGAGCACTATCTCAAACCTGTAATTGCAGCACCCTGGGAGGACAAGGTGGGATGATCACTTGAGGCCAGGAATTTGAGACTAGCCCGAGTAACATAGCAAGACTCTGTTTTTACAAAAAAAATCTCTGTGGATTACTTTTTTTTTTTTTTTTTTTGGGAGGGGGATTACAGGCGTGAGCCACCGCGCCCAGCCTATTTTACCTTTTATATTGCTCTCCTCATGATAATTTGTTCCATTACTTATTTTTATTTTTTTTTTTTTTGAAATGAATTCTCACTCTGTTGCCCACGCCAGAGTGCAATGGTGTGGTGTGATCGTGGCTCCCAGGTTCAAACGATTCTTCTGGTTCAGCTTCCTGAGTAGCTGGAATTATAGGCACCCGCCACCATGCCTAGCTAATTTTTGTATTTTTAGTAGAGACAAGGTTTCACCATGTTGGCCAGGGTGGTTTCAAACTCCTGACCTCAAGTGATCCACCCACCTTGGCCTCCCAGAGTGCTGAGATTATAGGCATGACCTACTGCACCCCACCATGGATTACTTTTTTTTTTTTTTTAAACAGCATTCCAGGCTGAGGATTACTTTTATAAGAAGTCATAAAAAGTCCATACTTTTATACTATGTCACACATTTAACAAATCTAAATTTTATTTTGAAGCATTGAAAACTAAACAAATGTTGACATAGGTGAACTTTTCTATTTTTCAAGAGTCTGTAAAGATCATGGAGCTGTCATGCTAATGAAAAGAAAACTAGAACTACATTGCTATGGTTGAAAGAATAGGGGAGATTAATTCTTCCTGGGTTTAAAAAAGGTATATGACTGAGAAGGACTTAGCATAGGACTTGATCAGGGACTTGATCAGGGTGTGCTATGGCCAGACTGGGCAGAAGAGGCCAAGGATAGTAGAGGCAATAAGCATACACAGTGGTGCCACTGGAGAAGAGTTTGTGGAATGTATTGAATGATTGATTTTTCTGGCATTAAAAATCTCCAGTAGGGCTTTCTCCAAAAAGAATGGTGCTCTTCTAAGCAGAAGAGCACCATTCTTTTTGGAGAAAGCCCTGTTGGAGAGAAGGAAGGACCCATCCTCCACCTAGCTCTCTTCTCCCGTGTGTACATGTGGATGCAGGACTAAGGTTCCACCAGTTGGAGGCCTCAGGAGGCC